GTCAGTGAGGCGCAAGAACTTTTAAATCATTTCCAGAGGGCCAGCATAGTGGCAGGAGTGTGTGGTGAAAATTTCACTCAAATCCATTGAGAGACACCAAAGTTACGGTCAATTGAATGCCATATGAAATTTACGACCAGGCTGCTACCTTTTAAAAGAAAGCCAAGCTACCAGCCATGGTGCGAGAGTGCTCTAAGAAGGGGTGAAATGAACATGGATTTCTCCTTAAAACCAACCTTCTTTATCATAACGAACATGCGCACATGTTCTTTAAGAGACTTCAATTTTCTTGATTATACTGTCCGGGCTTTATTGTGTGGTGCACAAGCAAATGCCGTACCAGCTATGGTCGACATTCATCACCTGCCCCGCATACTGCACATGGAACTGATATGATATCATACACGTGTAAGCGCTGAGAGAGTAAAGTGCATCCGTGAGCGTGTGACCATTCCAGGACAGTGGCAACAGTAACAAATTATCTAGGGCTGAGTCAGGTAGCATTTTCTTCGGGCATCGGGTTCGGATAGTTTTCCACGGGTAGCACGGGTACCCGATCGGGTAATGTTTCAATGGTAACACCACAATGCCCCTCTTCCCTTACACACTGGACAGACATGCAGAGTAGTACATGAATTTGTACACGGGCACTGCACATGGTGTCCTCTGCGACTTAGAGTTTTCAGGTACTATTCTGTACCAGTCTACTCGAGGTCCGCACGGGTAGCACGGGTACCCGACTACCCGTGCACACCACTAAAATTATCCTCCAAATTTCACATTGTCAATTGTCAAGCAGCACCCAACCACAATCATTGTTCACCTTCGGAAAGGTATTGCTCTCTGTTCTGCCTTGTGTATAATCAATATGTATAACATAATATGCAAAGAGAAAAAGGATCTACATTGTACCTGTATAAATTATTAGTTATGACTAACAGTCCACGAAGGTAACGAGATAATATACAGTCAAATAGTGTTGTGCCACTGTCTGACAGTATTATTATCTCGTTACCTTCGTGGACTGTTAGTCATAACTAATAATTTATACAGGTACAATGTAGATCCTTTTTCTCTTTGCATAGTTTTAAAATACTATTGGCTCAACATCCGAGTATGTTAACGTAATAATAATTATTATGTCACTCTACGCACATGGGTTGTGCATCATCTGCCATGTAACATTACTACTGTACTTTCCATAATGTCTTTACATTACTGAATGCATACGCATGGCAGAACGTGTACACGTGACCAGTGTCAATCGATTGGTGTATCATGTTGCACTGAACCATCGTCTGCCCATTGTATTCTCTCTAGACTAGCTCACTCTACTCTCCTGACCACTGTCTGCCATGCCTACGCTGGCCTTGGAGTTGGAGAGTACTGGATCCATGGAGCACACATCCGAAATCCTCAGTACTTCCTGACTGTGATAAAGCAGGGGATAAGGAGGACTTGGTAAAAATTCACCTAGGGTTCCCAGTAAAAAGGCAACGCCTGTTGGGACTCCCCTAGTAAAATAATAAAATCTACTACTACTTAGCGTCGTAGGTACTGTAAAAGCCATTATTCTAACGAGGTGCATACATGTATACCGATTTCCTAAAATTGACTGGTTCACGTGTAACAATTCTCACTCATTCTCAACACAACAGTTTATGTATGGGTTTCTGTACAACGATTTCTATTTTAAGTTTTCACTACAGATTTCTCCTCGTTATTTAAACTCATCATTATACATGTACATGTACATGTACATGCATATTGTAAAATTATTACTTTTAGGGTACTAGTACAGAGCAGGGAAAAGTACTAGTACCTGTACTCCCTGCCTGGTACATGTACTGGCTTATTTTTTTTTTATTTTTTTATTTTTTTTTTATTTCACGGATCCTCCAGAGGCAAATAGATGCCTATCGAAGGGAGCCTCCTATAATTATAAGTATGGAAAATGAGAAAGTATGTTCGTAAGGGAGAAGAGGTAGAAGATACATTAGAATATAGAGTGCAGAAGAAGTAAATTCAGTACTTCGGGTAGTACATGGCATGCTAATCATAATGAGAATTAGAAAAGCAGCATTGCGGACTACTATAACTGACATATGGTCATGTACATGTACATGGATGCAGCTAATGGGGTCGTTCTCGGCACTTGTGCCAGTGGTTGTGAGACTTACCCACTCACCCCCACCGTTAGGCGCTGCATCTGCCGCTAGGGTTTATCGGGTGTTAGCGGCCGTCGTGAGTTCCCTTCGGGAACGGATACGATAATTTACTTTACTTTACTTACATGTACATGTACATAGTCATTCGCACTCTCCTGCTCACCCAACTCAGCCGACTCGCTGCCGGAATTTCCATTGCCAATGGAAGTTCCGGCACCAATGGCATTGGGTCTCCCTTTCTTCGTCTGGGTCACCCAGGTCTTGTTGCAGGTACATGTACATGTACATGTACATGACTGTACTAATACCTGGTTTACGCGACTACCCCACGGTGCAAGCAAAATCGGTCGTTAAAGCCAGGTCCCACAGTGTCTGTGTAGAACTGTCGGTGCATGGAAAAAAGGTCGTTAAGACCAGGTGGTCGCTAAACACAGAGGTCGCTTACACCAGGTTTACTGGACATGGTAATGATTATACTTCTGAAGTACAGATCATTCCACGAGAGAACTGAAACTAAAGTACTCAAGTCTAAAAGGTTACTTTTCCATCACGGACATGTCACATGACCTGGTGCACCGGTACGCGATGACCGGTGGCAGACTGGCAGTAGACATATCACATGGCCTGGTGGTGGCAGACTGGCAGTAGACATGTCACATGGCCTGGTGGTGGCAGACTGGCAGTAGATAACTAACAACATGTATATCTCTGGAGAATGAAGTTGAAGACACCACTGCAGCTGTACTTATGGTTGATAAATATGGTGGTAAAGACACACCTGGCAATATGGCGGTAAACACACGCCTGCCCACACACGCTCTCTAGGCTGCAAAGTTCTGGCACCGCCATATTGCCAGGTGTGTCTTTACCACCATATTTATCAACCATAAGTACAGCTGCAGTGGTGTCTTCAACTTCATTCTCCCGAGTCAAGCTCCGTATGAAGACATCCAAGAAGAAGATTGCCTGATGAGTCCAGCGGGGACGAAACGTACGTCGCAATCGAGCTATGTCGTTGCTGTGTCATCATCTATGTGCCATGCGCTACTTGATGTACCAGCCTGCTATGCCGGATACCGCCAGCCATGCATCGACCAGGCGCCAGGCGCGAACTGATGGTGGTGGGGGTGAGAAGGAGAGCTCTGTGCCAGAACTTTGCAGCCTAGAGAGCGTGTGTGGGCAGGCGTGTGTTTACCGCCATATTGCCAGGTGTGTCTTTACCACCATATTTATCAAACATGTACATAAGTCATTGTACATGTACATGGCAGTATTGACAGCATTGTGTCTACATTATTATGTATCTGTGATGCAAAATGTAGAATATCCAATGTACATGTACATGTACATGTAGTAGTGTAGGTTCCTAAACACCCGGTATTGTACACAGTACAGAAATGAGAGGGTTTCAATGTTGTGCCTGCACGGGCTCAACTCTTGTCATTGCCAACCTATGACTAGGCTATGTACGTACATGCAAGAGTACATAACCCCCCAAGAGTGTGCAACTCCCACACACTAGTACCCTGTTGTCCCTCTTGCCATTGTAACTACATGTACATTGTATCAGAAAGTGCAACAACTAGACACCAAACTGACAGAGTACTGAGACATGCAACGTCCTTACACCTAGCTTCAGCACATCCCCGTATCGCTAACCAACAGCCTCCCAACTCGGAACGTGTGCTGCTTTGCTGCTTCGAATTGTAGTTAGACCGCTTTGTCAAGTATCCTACTGGTCTCGTCTGTCCAGTAGTAACACTCGACATTCTTTGTTCCAGGGCGATTGTGGCTTGTGCTCATTTTCGTTGTGCTTACCTTCCCCTCTTTAGTCTCTCCTTAACCTTGAACGTTCCGAGTTGGAAGGCTGTTGGTTAGCGCTACGGAGATGTGTTGAAGCTAGGTGGCATGTCGTCGAATGTCTCAGTACTCTGTCAGGTTCGTGCCTACTGTAGTTGTTGCACTTTCTGACTGTACTACACTACTCTAGTATAGTATGCTACATGTTGGTAGTTATAGTGCCTTTAAGTGTGGTGGTTACTCTGAACTACAATGTACAATCATGTAGTAGACATAAATTTAATAATAATAATACTGAGTGTCCTTTTCCTTTCTACATGTATAAGTACTAAGTAGATCTGATGTCAGTGATCCGTCATGTGACTCCTGTCACTACAGTATCAGTAATGTTACGACAGTACTGTACGTACTAGTACTGATACCAACCATGAATGCCATGATGCCATGATGGTTCATAATTATTATCATGATTGTACTATGAATCCTTAGATTCCTTACCCTTGGCTTGATTGAATCATCGTCCAGGGCTAGTGCTATTGCTCAAAGTAGAGTACACTAGTAGATCTACGGATTCCCCTACTGGCCCCAGGCCTCACCCCTAGTCATGAAATCCGATCAGAGAGTTTCCCTCTTGTCATCCTAGTGCTACTACTAGTACTAGTAACACATGTACAGTCGATGCATCGTCCTGTAGCGGACATGGACGATTGACCTGGCCTGGGCCGGCGCCTTCAGTTCAGCGCGTACAGAACGCTGGGTGCAGTGTAGACCTACATTTTTGATCCGATACGATGGGAACAGCGCGCTGCAGCACATAAAATGATAAAATTAGCGCTAGCTAGCCACGGCTGCATGGCCAGCGCCCTGGGGCCGCTAGACGTGGGACCGGATTTCCATGACTACTACTAGTAGTACTAGTACATGAAGTCCGAGCGACAGTCTGTGCCGTAGCACTAGCAGTTGAAACTCGGTTTTCAACTGATCCAGGGCAGTGTCAGTGATCATGCAGGTGATGTGAGTGGCCAGTACAGCCGGCTAGCCTAGGCCTATACTAGGCTATTATACTTTAAATTATAGGACAGGAAGGGTGCCTGTGTCGCTGTTTTCTAGCTGATCGCTCCTGTGCGCCACTGCCCCGCTGCCTCTGTGTGCGTGTCACTGAGTCTTTTCGTGTGGTGTGGATCGTCCGGTCTTCTTAGCTTTACAAATCACGGCAACGAACACTGCCAAGAAGAAGAGTGAAGTGTGTCTGATCAGGGTGTTTCAACGTGAGTAGGAAGCTGGAAACACAAGAGACACCAGTGCCATTGCCGTAAAAAAGAATCACCACGCCGTGCGGTTCTCCGGGTTTGCAGTTCGGTTTCAACGCGGACCTCAGGAATTTCGGAGGATCCCAAGTCGAGGACCATTTTCTCCACGTAAGTACTTTCCCCAGATCTGCTTGTTCTCTTCCGAGTATTCCTATATGTATGACCTGTTTGATCATTCTGCTGAATGATCGAGTGGTCTGAGCGGTTCAGCGAATGGCACTGTGTAATGCCAATGGTCAATGATTTGAGCGTTCTGTTTCTCGTGATGCACTGTAGTGTTTAGCTCCTGGCTTGGGAGTGGAGATGGTGTTTGCACAGCTGTGACTGTGCATGTACCGCGCCGTACGTAACGTGTTCACCATCTGGAAACTAACGCAACACACTGCCCAAACACCTTAGTCAGTACTAGTATCGATTGTAACTCTGTTGATGGACCGTGCCGAGTTTTTTTCTGAGAAGAACGCAGTAAATACATTCCGGTGTGCGTGCGGAAGTACCGGTACACGCTGTACAGGTATTGAGTTTCATGCTGACTAGGGCTCAGTCACGAGTGCTAGTAGTGGTCAACGTTCCGGATGAGTAAAAAATGTAGATCAGATCAGCCACGCACGACGTTTTTGTTCAGTTTCGTTCCACACAGCTAGTACAGATCCTGGCCTGGCATTCAGAAATCGTCGCCAGTACGGTTTCCGGCGGAAGGATGAAGCTATTTCCCAACCCATAACCAGATAACCGTGATAACCTTCAGGATAAAAATGAATCGTTTTTAGTGAGTCTTGAGACGACGTGATTTCGATCTTCGGGTTCGGATCGCCGCGGTTAGTGTCACTAGTAGTAGTACATGCACTTAGTCTGTCAGTCAGTGCATTGATTCCGAGTTAGGTTTTGGGCGCAAGCAGTCCTGGATTTGGAAGTAGGGACCTAGCGTGAGTCAGGCATTGCACAACGGTTTCATGATGTGGTCTGTAGTCTACCATGGTCAAAGGTTTGATGATGTGGTCTGGAGACTAGATAAACGTAGTACATGTACTATCTACGTAGAGTCAGGTCTACGTAGAGTTTACCAGGTCTACGTAGAGAGGCTTGAGAGTTAGATCTCTATCCGTGAGTGTATCACTGCATGTGGTAGTTAGTATCAGTACGTACAATCCTGTACCATGTGTACTGTAGTAGGCATTTGAGGTATGCCAGGACTTCATGGTCGAGTGAGTAGCCTGGCCTCGTCGCCTCCTCGTACTGAATGGCACGCAAGGTTACTAACTAACTTACTTTGGTCTTTTGGAGAATGCGAAAGTGCAGGCACTCCAAGAACTCCAACAAAGCTGGTTTCTGTGACTTTACGTAGATCTACGTAGCGGGCGTGTGCAACAAATCGCTGTGATCGTGAAGTGTCCGGGCAAGAGTGAGCCGTATTATGTCTGAAGTAGGGCAGCTAAGTGTGTACTAGATCTACGCCTGGTTATCTGCAGAGTGCAGGTGCTAGCGAGCATTCAGCATCGAAATCAATGACTTGCATTTCGGGAATGGAGTTCAGTTGAGCGAATCCGTCATGACAAGAGGACGAAATACATTGTTGCTCCTGGCCAACCCTGCAGTCTCTTTTGGCTGTACTGAAAGCGCTCAATGACTTGAATGAGCTCAGTGCGACCTTCACCTTTGGGCGCGCGGATGTCAGCAGTGTTGGACTGAAATCAAACTACAAAAGTTCCATGTAAAAAAATAGAGTATAGTTGGCCGGATTATAATTATTAGCGACGTGTTTTATAGGAAGACATCAAGCAAAGTCGTTCGAAAGTTCCATGTGCTAGGCCACAATCCCGTGTTTTACTGCATTTTGTCAGTATTTGCATTACATTTTGGGTGTTCTCAATCTGCGGACAGACTTTGGTCCTTTGTCGACTCATCAGCGCAGCACAGAGAAAATGAGGCCGAACATTTGGGTGCTATCACCTTTCTGTAGGACACCAGTAGGTCTACTAGTAGTAAATATAGAAAATGTGGAGCAAGGCTAGAGCAACAAGCCTTGTTCCACTGGCTACTGACGTACTGTGTATCAAAGCGCTCTGCCTCCGCACCGCATGCATGGCAGCACTCTTCAGCACACTGGGTGCATGCACCCCCAGGCCCCACTCCCTCAGGTTACCTAAATACGGTATTATCTCACAAGCGCAGTCTCTTGTGGAAGCCCAGTCTTATCTCTATTATAAGCGTATTCCAAGACTCGAGGGCTTAGAAGATACACAAGGGCAGTCTCCAATATAACAAGCACATGGATATTATACTATTTATAGTGGAGAACTGTATGGATCATGTCCGTGCACGTTAACGCGTTGGATGTCACACAGTATCACATAAACACATGCTGTGGTAAAAGTCTGTGATCCCCCCCCCCCCCCAGGCGCGTACGCAGGGGGGGGGGGGTTTCCCGTTGCCCGGAAACCCCCCCAAATGTTCCAAACGAGCAACGTTTTTGGGCATTTTTCGTAGGGCGCATGATCGATCTGGCAAGAATAGCAAAACTTCAAAAGATCATAACTCAGTCAAATCTCGCTCAAATCCAACGATCCAAATATCCAGGTCGAATAGAAAACTCTCAGCTGTCGGTTGAAACAATTTGCGAAGCGCTGCGAGCAATGTATCGTGAGATAAATTATTCGTAAGTTGAGCCGCGATCTCGGCAATTTCGAAAGCGCACAGTGCGACTTGAGTATCGAGAATTTGAGATTTTCGTCACGTTGATTTGCTCAAATTTGCAGCTTCACTTGTGATATTTCAAGAGTACACAGCAAAAAAATTGAAACTCTGCGATCAAGAAAAACTAAACCGTTGGAGCAGGATCCTAGGATGCGTTTGGGCCTGTTTGGGGCATTTTTCCCACCGTCGCTGCACTCTACCGCTATAGCCTATAGCGCTGGATATGTACATGACTGTACTGTGTCCTGGCTATCATTGTCGACCTCATTCTCTCCCTCGTACCTTTCCACTTCCAGGAAGCCCAAGATAATGAAGATTGAGTGAGTAGAAGTTATGATCCAAACAACACGAAAAATGCATAATTTTGAAAATTTCCTAGGGCTCTTTAGAAAGGGTTTTAAAACTTAAAACTTATTGTTTGGATTCAGTTGGAAACCCCCCTAGAGGTGACCCTGCGTACGCGCCTGCCCCCCCCCCCCCCCCCGAGATCTAAAGTTCAGACTCAGTGTACCAGGAAGCACAAAACTGCAGTCCTGGTACCTGCTGGGAAACGTTGTGCTACTGATACATTGAAAATTAATAAGCAATGTACATGCACCAGGTGGTTGAAAAATTATAAGCCCAGTCTCTAGTAGAAGCCCGGGGTCCGTACTGGTTGAAAAAATAGAAGTGCGGGGCTTTTAATGGAGATAATACGGTACTAACAGGGCCGGCGGAACCAGTCAGGCTGGTCCGGCCATGGCCGGACCACTTTCCCAGCTGCATGGTCCATGTGATTCGTGCAAAACCGGTGTAAAAAAATCCAGAGGTACATGACTCGACTGTACTCGTACTGCTGACGTGTGATGTGCTTCGAAGTAGCTCAGGACTCCGTGACCGGCACTGTATGGCTGATATGGATAAAAAAAAGTTGTGTTTGTGTTCTTTTACTATAATTTTCTGCATTTTCTGGAGCCTTAGAGATGCCCAAATTCGCTCTATTTCACGTAAATTTTAAATATTTCTCCCGGGGGTCCCCCGGACCCCCCTCAAAGGTTGGCCGGACCAATCCCCAACTCCTTCCCCCGGCCCTGACTAATATTCTGTAATGGTACCTGTTGCCAGTGTTCATTGTCTCACATGGAGGAGAAGAAGAGCAAGGCAGTGCGAGTATGCGCACAGCTATCCATGCATTCCGGCTACGGTGCACTATTTATGTGTATACAAATTTCGTGTTTATATGAAGTAGCCACACTACACATGCACCGTAGGCCTTGGGCCGCCAGTGGAGCACCACATCTCTTGGCACAAGAAAGCGATTGTGCTAACGGATGTTTCTCTTTCACGACCCTGATGATAGGCCAGGCCCGACAATTTGGTGTAGTGTTAATCACAATTTTAACTCGAATCGCAGTGAAGAGACCGTTTTGGAGTTGAGAAGTGATGTTTAAATATGTTTCTCTCAGCGTAATTATTATGATAACCAGGGCAAATGTAATTATGGTGAAAAGCAACCATGTGTTTGCTGTGCTGATCTATGAAGTGTGATTCACTGTGAACTCCAGCTCCGGGCATCAGCAGATAAAATCTATTATCTCCACATGGTTATTGGTCAGCAGTGTGACTATGTGTTTTAGATTGTGTTAAATGCATCAGTTACTTGAGATGATTGAGATAACGTAAACTTCACATGTCCTTCAAGGTAATAACAATTTGCCCCAGTAATGAGGACTGAACTCATCCTGGAAGCCTGCAAGCAACTCTTGTGCGGTGTAGTACATAGCAGATGACATACACAAGATCATGTCAGCATCTTGAGTTTTGTGCTAAACGGCAATGTGTTCCGAGTAGTTAGTGGTTTGCTCTAAGTAGCCACACATCAGGAGCTGGCCGTGCACATGTGCGAAAGTATCCCATTGAAATGACACAAACAGTTGTACTGGGCGTGCTTGTTTACTGAGGTGCCTGGAGGTCGTTTGGTGTGGTAGGTTGGCGTGGAGTATTCTTGGTCCGTGTTTCCGTTATGAAACATGTATAGTAGCCAGATTTGCCGAATCGTAATGTTCACGCACCCATTGTCCTAGGCTGATCAGCACAAGTTGAATCTGAATCAGTAGATGATTTATGTTACTATTGACTCCAGGGACTCTAGGGCATGAATGATGAAGTGAACAAGCGCAGCAATTTATGGTACCAGTGCCTGTGGGGGGGGGATACTAGTAGGAGAATCATGAATTGTTGGTGTGTGGTGCGATGTGTACATGTACTTGATGTGATCCCAATACTCGCGCAAACTGTATCCATTTTAATTTTTAATTAAAGAAAATGTCACCGCACTTACGCTCTTCCAGTAAATTCGCACTCACACACACTTGCACATGCATGTCCATTCACACTGCACTTGCTGAATTTCCTATCATTTCTCACCTCACCTA